CTGGACTTTCTCCAATTCTAGCCTCAGGCCTTCAGTAACCTGTGTCAACTCTTGCTTTTGGTTTTCCTGGCCTTCAGTATCCTGGATTTCTTTTGCAACAGCTAAAGGTGCTGCTTCGATCGAAGCCTTTGGTTGCTTGTGGACGTCTTCAGTGACCCCCTTGTTGACTTCGACTAACACCCAGCTTTCATTTTCAGTGCCTTTATCTCCTAATGGAGTGTCATTTTGATCTGCTTCCACCATATTGATTTCTCCAATGCATACAGGCTCGGAGTAATTGGTGTATGCGACATCCAAAGGATCTTCATCTACTTTCATTTTTGGTTTATCAGCGAATTTCAGTCTGCCATCTTTAATTGCATTCTGAATTAGGTCCCTGAAAAAAAAAACACTGTGAAGTTTTGTGGCCTAGGAAACTATGATACTTACAAAATCCTCTTTTCTTCCTTTGATCTAAAGGAGGTATTTTGACATTTGATGGTACAATGAGTTGGCCATCTTTGACAAGTAAATCAAAAATCTCGTCACACTTAGTTACATCGAAGGTATAAACCTTCTTTGGGAATTTGTCACTTTTCTCATTTTCAACTATTTCTTTCCCTTTTGTGGGAACTAATAACTTACAAGAGTAAGGTGGGGCCTGTTTTAATTCAGCGAGATCAATTTCGACCTCTTCGAATTCAGGGTAATCTTCTGCTTCCTCAGCTCCAACATAGGAGACCCTTTCTTTCTTGTTATTTTTAAAAACTCTGGCCTTTTCGGCCTTTAGCCTTTCGACCTGTCGAACCCTATCGGCTAATTGAGCCATATCCCTCAAGTATTGTGTATCTAATTTCTTTCGAATAGAGTAATCCAGGCCGCCAGCAGCCATTTCGACTAACTCATGTTCAGGAACTACTGTAAAGCATCTAGATTTCAAAAGTCTGAACCTATTCAGATAATCATCTATGGGTTCAGTAAACTTCCTCTTGACACTGGCTAGTTCCTTCAAACTTATTTTAGATTGCCCCATATAGAACTGTTCATGGAATAATCTCTCCAACAGAGCCCAAGTGTCTATGGACCCAGGAGGCAAAGTGGTGAACCATGTGAAAGCGTTCTTAGTCAGGGAACTTGGGAAATATTTGATCCTAAGGTCTTCATTATTTGCAATATCTCCTGCTTCGGTTAGATACCTGGCTATGTGTTCGACTGTTGATTCATTGGTATCTCCAGCGAACTTTGTAAACTTAGGGACTTTATATCCCCTTGGTAAATTAGTGTGCATTATGTAATCTAATATAGGAGAGGCATAATTTGGCCTTCTAATTCCTGTGTTGAGGCCATTCTGGGCCATGATTCCCTCTATCATGGTGGTTAAATTATTTTCGGCCAATATGTTATCGTTTTGAATTCTGTGAACGACTGCATCAGCATCTTGATTTCGACCCACCATGACAACTCCTCTAGGTTGTTCTTCTCGAAACTCTGGGACTTCTCACCTTTCGATCCTTGCCCCTGGTTCCATAATTTCCCTTTGTGGGCCTTGAATCATTGGGGCTTCTAACCTTCGTGCCCTTGCCCCCAAATTAACCCCCTCTCTGGCTGGTTTATAGGGTTGGTCGTCAGCAACTTGTTCTATGATAGGTACGTTTGCTCGAACTCCCGCCTGATTTTGCCTACGCCTTTCTGGGGGAGCGAAAAAATCTGCTATTCGACTCGTGTTATCCACGTTTTCTCTGTTTGTCACATTTACATTTTGTACTATTGGGGCAAAGATCTCCTGCATAGTTTGTGCTAATACTCCTATCATATTATGGTTACTGTCATCCATTAATTTCCTAAAGGCCAACTGATTTTCTATGGTTAAGATAGGCATTGCACTATAACCCACTGATCCTTGGTTATTTGTCATAAATTGATTTGCCCCAGACCCAGACCCTAATTGTGGTGACGTATTCGATGTCGAAGTGTGCAGACCCGCCATAAAAGATGTTGGCATCCCATAAGAGGAATTTCTGTGTCTGTTAGCATCGAACCCGGGTGGTCTAGTTAGTGGGGTGGCGAAATGGGTTTGTGTCCCTGATGGTGGGACGAATCCCCCAGGATAACCAATGGTTCCAGTATTTCATAGGATCGAACTGTTAGTTGACATGCCACTTGTTCCATTAGTGGCTACACTACTAGTAGAAGATGCAACAGACTGTGCGTTCGAAGGGATCGTATTAGATGTTCCTGTCGAAGCGGACATATTAGTGCCTGTTGTTTGTGGGATATTTTGTTCCCCTTGTTGATTGTCTGGATTAGACATCTTGTTTAAACGTTTTCTTCTGGGTAAGGGTTGGTTGCTATTGGTTATTCTACCACTTCTAAGGTTCATATAACAACGAACTTATCACTCAGAAAGTACTTTTACAATGGTTATGTCTCAACAATTTTTACTTTGTTCTAAATTTCGTGATGACCAATGACGGTCCCACCGGGTGTGCCAATTTGTTTACAGTTATTTATGGTAAACAACCGCTAGTCCTCCAAACTATCAAATAATCTTAATGACTGTTATTTAATCTCTCTGGTAACTTGCAGGATCGACTAGATTGATCCTATGGTGTATTAGTCATTTGGATATTTCTCATTGTAGAACTGATATTCATGGTTGGTATTTAGAATGTTGTGTAAGTGTTCAACTTACTTCGATTACCATATTAAAGATCTAATGACATGATCAAGTAAATACGTGCGAAACTAAATTGCATGAATAAAGGTTCAATTGTAAAGACATGTAAAACTGCAAGAAACAAGTAAATAACTTCGAAGTATAAAAGCATGTAATGTAAAAGAGTTTCTGGAATGTAAAAGGTTCGAAATAGAAAGAAAGCGTTTAAATGCAAGAAATCAGTAAAATGACTTTGGATGAAAAGGTATTCGAATGATAAAAGCATGAAGATAACAACATAAAAGGTATAAGAATTTCTGAAATGTAAAGTACTCGGAATAGAGGGAAAGACTTTCAAATGCAAGAAATCAGTAGATGACTTTGAATGAAAAAGATTTTAATGCAAAGGCTTTTGAATGATATTGACATGAAGATAGAGGATAAACTGGAAATGATAAAGAGTTTTGCTGAATCATAAACATTTGGTGTTATCATACGTATATTGTTCGAGCATTCGTTTCCCTAGCCATATGGTATTTTGAATGTTTACTGAATTTTGTACAATAGATATGACACACGAAATCCTAACGCTAAGACTTCTATTTATACTACTTCGACCATAACGGTCTTGCCTATAAGATTCTGCCACGTTCAGAACATGCAGAACAATGTCCTTCTCTAGCTTTCACGCGTCTTCGAATGCTCCAGCGCATATATTTTAAATTTCGAACATCCCGCTTGCGTTTGAATTTCAAATGTTTTGGCACTCTTCGCTTCGAACTCATTTCTTGGACACAACCTTGTTACCACTTCGAGACTTCTTTTGAATATATACCCATAACTGTCACTCGAAGCTCCGAGCTTTGACATGTTCATTCGAAGAACTACTTCTACCATTCTGAACCATGACATCTTGCTTTATTCCAACGAAACACCCAACTTGCTTCGTTTCGAACTGTATCATCAAAATCTTCAGCCAACACTTGGCTACAAGCAATTGCTTTTAGCGCAGTGGTAGACGCTTGATCCTACACCACGTTCTCATGTCAGTCATCTTAACTGCCCTCCGGGAATCACGGGTCCAACCCTATTCTCGCGGAGCAGTTGACCAGGGGGAAGTCCACTTGCTGGACTCCATACACACGCAAGCCCTGACAATTTCCATTATTAGGCCTCAACGTGGCACAATAATGGGAACCTTGACCCATCACTGGAGGCTATAAATATCCTCTCTTCTGAGAGGGTCAGATATTAAACACTTTCTAACTCTTACACTTGCTTGTTCATTCCGCAATTTACTTTGCCATCAGAGTGTCTTGCAGATACTCTCCATCTCATTCAACTTCTACCCGAGCCAACTGTGACGATCCATTCTGATTCGATGAGATCAGATAGTGTACTATTAAATGTGATGAAACAAATCAAGTAACTTGCTTGATCCACCAAGATACGTTTAGTAGTAGGATTTGCCAATAATTTGGCACGTGTTTTCAAAACATGTAAACAGATAAGTATAATTCTGAGTACCTCTAATATTTGATTAGTTTATTTATATATAAATTTCAATGTATTTTTATTGATTAAAATTTATATGTTAAATCGAATTTAAGTGAAAACTACACGATTTCACATGAACTAATAAAAATACCATTTTAAAAAGTATGTGTTAATATAGTGTATTGTTACTTTATTATATTAATAATTTATGATTTGAAAGAGTTTAGGAAAATAGATTTTGGAAATGAAAACATAATGGGCGACTAGTTAAATTAACAACCAACTTAAGTACATAAAATAAACAGAATGTGATCTTTATCAAAAAATAAAAAAAACTGCACGTGGATGGTGTTTGCTTTAGGAACTAGTGGCTTCTTTTGTGACCATTAATGATTGGAGACTAACCCCATGAAAAGATTTTAAGAAAAAAAATAAATGTTACTAATTGGGATTAGGGGTAGAGTTAATTGAATTGGGGCTAGTGAGTGTAAACAACTACTGTATAACGAGTCTAAGTGTGAGAAGCAACGCGGTTTGTTACGGAACGGAACGATGAGAATGGGTCCCACAGTTTATCTTTTTCATTTTGGCGCCAATTCACTCACCAAACTTGCGTGACCAAGCAAGTAACTAACCATCATCAAAAAACTGAACGGCATACTCAAAAATTTAAAATTTAAATTAAAAAAATAACAGCATCTGAACAAACTTTGAGCCCCATTGCCTTCGCTATAAATATCACACTTATATCTCACACTATCTCCCTCCACATTCCATTTCCGATTCAAATTTCATCACCAAGTGAACGAGAGCTCTCTTCTTCACTGAACCTTTTTCTCTGAGTTTGTTACTCTCGTCTTCAACAACCATGGCGAGTCCTGAAGTTTCTGAATCTCCTATTCGTTTTTCTTCTTCATCTTCTTCCTCTCGGTTACGGTTTCTTACTTTTCCGTTTCGTTTTTTCAGGTTGTTGCTCAGAAACTCAAGGAAGCTGAAATCACCGAGCAGGATTCACTTCTTCTGGTGATTAACTACTTATCAGAGTTCATTTACGTTTCATATATTGCACATTTTAATCTGATTATTCTGAAATCTTACTGATCTGTTGTTGTTGCTCTTGTTGTGCTGAAATCTTATGGATCTGAGTTTTTCTTATTTTTTTCTTCGATTAATTCAATTTCTACGGATTTCAGTTGCTGATATAAGCAATCATCTAACATTTATTTCAGCAGTGAAAAAGTTTGATGCATCTTTGAAAGGAATTTACTATTTAACTTCTTTTATTTTCGTTAAGATCATAGAGATCTAGAAGTTTCTTTAGCTTAAATTTTACCACATTGCTGTTTTAACTAACTACGAGAATATGTAATTTTTTTCAATATCAGATGCATTAATTTAACACTATGAATACGGAATTTGAAATTTGAAATTTCATTTCTAATTTGAATTTTCATCTGCCAGACAAGGAATCTGCTCCGAATTGCCATTTTCAACATTAGTTATATCAGAGGACTATTTCCTGAGAAGTACTTCAATGACAAGTCTGTTCCGGCGTTAGGTACTCCAGTCATCTGCATTTCTTTTACCGTTTACTCGGAATATTCTTAATATTTTTCGTTGAGTTCAATCGATAACCATGCTTTCATGACAGAGATGAAGATAAAAAAGCTTTTGCCAGTGGATGCTGAGTCTCGTAGACTGATTGATTGGATGGAGAAAGGCACGTTTAAGCTATTGTCTGATTGATTGTTTGAAGGTTGCAATGCTTGTTTTAATTTGCTTTATTGTGTTCATTTTCCAGGTGTTTATGATGCTTTACAGAAGAAATACTTGAAGACACTTTTATTCTGTGTGTGCGAAGCAGTGGATGGACCAATGATTGAGGAATATGCATGTAAGATTTTGACGAATCTGATTTTCATTTTAGGATTACTGCTATATATGCTAGTGATAAAATTTAGATTCATGTTTAATTTAATTTGAGACACTTATGGAAGATTCATTAACTCACCTAGTTTTCTCTTGCAGTTTCCTTTAGCTATTCGGATTCTGAGAAGCAAGAGGTTTCCATGAATGTCAACCGCACTGGAAGCAAGAAACAGGGGGGAGCCTTCAAGTGTAACTCGACTACAGATATCACTCCCCAGCAGATGAAGTAGTTGTTATAAAATAAAAATATAATTTATACCTCAAGTGGTCTTATCTTATTATGATGATTAATCTAATATTATTTATGTGATGTATAAAATCCAGGAGTTCTGCTTGTAAAATGATAAGAACTCTTGTTCAGTTAATGAGAACTCTAGAGAAAATGCCTGAAGAGGTGAGTGAATTCCAATACTTCGCATGATATTACATTATCACCACATCATTCACTCTTTACAGTTCTTAATTTCAATACAAAAACTGAACTGTACTATTTTCTCAGCGTACCATTCTGATGAAGCTCCTCTACTATGATGATGTGACGGTATGATATTTAATATAGAACAGCAAATCTTGTCTGCTTTTTTTGTTGAATTCTTTAGCCATCATATGGATTGTTGAACTGTTTAGACTCTAGACTTGAAATGTATTTTCGATCAGGTTATTGTTTAAATGGGGAAATGAGCCTTCACACTATACATGTCTTTCATGCAGCCAACGGATTATGAGCCTCCTTTCTTCAGGGAATGCACAGAAGAAGAAGCGAATCATCCTTGGGTGAAAAACCCATTGAAAATGGAGGTCGGAAATGTAAACAGCAAGCATTTTGTCTTAGCTCTGAAGGTAATAGAAGGATATCCTGCTCACAGCCAAGTTTTAAGTATGTTTTTAAGCTATTGCCAATGATTTCTTCTTCCATTTTATAGGTGAAGAGTGTGCTTGACCCTTGTGAGGATGACAATGAGGTTGTCCAAGATGATATGAGTGACGATTCCATGCAAAATAATGAGTATTATGACACTGACAGTGAGGTAAGCGAGGATGTTGCTTGATATAGCCATTGCTGTTAAGATTTTGACGACTGTAAGTTACCGACATGAACCACTAAGTAAAAGTGTTACTCAAATTTGATATCGTACAATTTTCAGGTTGCTCATTCTCAAGGGGATCAATATATAGTTGCACCCATAGGTGATTAAGATTATTATTCTTATTGTTGCACAATTCATTTGATGCTCTCTAGTATATTATTTTAATATGTAAACTATGGCAGAGAAACAGCAAGCACAGGAAGATCCTGGCGAGATTGATGAAGGTAAAACAGGCTCTTAGTTATCTAACAGAAAATTGTTTGTGTGATTTTGCATTTACGTATATTGTAAAACTGTCCCAGAGGAATAACAATTATAACACTTGTTTTTCGTTGGGCTCTAAAGTTTTCTTCTATTTCTGTACAGTTGTTAACACAATTACTAGGCTATGAACCTTTAAATACATATAATTAATAAACTCTATTTCTTTCAGAGAATACCCAGGACCCTGTTGAAGATGAGCAACAATTGGTTAGGGTCAAGGAGTGGCTCAACTGTTGTCACTTGGATACCATTGATGTTACTGATGTTCTATCAAATTTTCCAGACATCTCAGTGGTACCCACCTTTTCCCCATGACTATTTAGATTATGGTTTTGCTTGTCCATTTTAAGATTATGGCATAACTGCAATTTTAGTTCCTATTGTCCTCATCTTTTGTCAAATATAATTAGAATTGAATTGTTTTATTTGCAGGTTCTGACTGAAGGTGGGAATTTCAATTATCATGTTCACTGTGCTGCAGTTTTCATCCCTTTCAATACTCAGTTGCTCTTGCTTGATTTTGTTTGGTTCTTCAGAGATCATGGACAACCTTGTCAAGGAAGGTGTGCTATCAAAAAAAGGGAACGACACCTATGCTATTATTAATAAGGACAAGGTTAGTATTTTCTCTTAATTGAACAAAGTTAGATTCTACTAATCTTTTTATATCTCCTTTTTATTTATGGTTGAACTTTATTGCCAGAAATCTGAATTTGAATTCACCGATGTGAAAGAAGAAAATGATGGTCAAATTCCTCCAGTCCTTGATAGAGCTTTGCAGGGCGAAGATCTCATCTACATGAAGGTGAGTTTTAATTCTTCCTTTTTTTCCATCTTCGTTTAATAGATATTTCTGAAGATCTTAGCTGACTTGTAAATTGTAATTATGCAACCTAGTCACAAGTCACAACATCTAGTGCTCAACAGCTTAAGTATAAAAGTGATGTTTCTTAGCCCAAAAGAAAGTATGCTCTATTTAAAGTTGGGCTAGAGATTGAATGAATTGATTCCGTATTCAAATTAGATTTTATTTATTGCTCATTGTGAAATGTACCTTATATCTTTAAAAAGAAACCCTGCATCATCTTGAGAGGCAGGGGATGGAGTCTGTAATCAATAAGCCAAACGATGTATAATCATGGATCTCTTAAACCGCTTCCTTATGATAGGTGTCATTTGGTTATATGACTTATCTATCTTAGAAGTTAGAAATATTTCTTGTCATAGTACTATATATATATTAATTAGATCTAAAAATCTCAGGCTCTCTACTATACTCTTCCATTGGCTTATGTGTCAGTCACAAAGCTTCAAAGCTCCTTCCAGGGAGAAGTAAGCCAAACAGCAGCAAGAAAGATAATTGATAAAATGACCAGGGATGGGTTTGTTGAAGCTAAAGGCAACAAAAGGCTAGGTAAGAACTTAACAATCAATTAATAATCCCACTCTTTCTGTCTTCTGTTTTTGATTATTTCTTATAACTTCTGTATATCAGGAAAACGCGTGATCCATTCTGAGCTGACCCAGAGAAAATTCATCGAGGTCCAAAAAGCTTTAGGTGCTGCTGAAGCTATGGTAATAACTGCGGAACATTTTGGATTTATTAATTACATCATTATTTTTGTTTACCTGTTGCACGTTTTAAAATTTACAGGATGTTGATGACTGTGAACCAAATAGCAAGTCCAAACAAACTGGTTACCGTGTAAATGGTAGAGGCTATCAATATTTTGTATCCTAACACAAACTCTGTAGCTTTTTAGTATTGATGATACTTAGTCAACTTATAACTATCATATGCTTGCTTTCTTGGTAACCAGGAAGCAACCGAGACATCTCAACATGCGGTGTTCTCCACTCAATCGGATCAGATTTAACACGAATGAAAGTGACCTCTGATGCAAATACTACTGACTCCATGAGTGGACCAAACATGCCAAAGGAAAAAGAGCCAGGAAGCACCCCAATAAGCAGGGCTGGGGTAAGTTATATATTGACTGATTAAATTTTCAGATTTTTAAATTTGTAGCACTGGCTTCTGTTGTTGAATGTTCACATGTGACTGATGATGTAAATTATTCTTGAATTATTACAGCCAGTTGCTTCAAGGGAGAGTTTTGCGCACAGGAAAGAGATCAGCACAGCAAATGCAAGTGGAATTGCGAACGAAGGCGACGCTGATACAATTATCTGCAGCAAATCGTCCCAGGACAAGCGCCCCAGGAAAACTAGCGCTGTAAATTCTGGTTTCCTTATTCCTTACACCGACCCTATATTTTATTCAATATTGAAAGAAGTCTTTGTGTAATTTGGAAATGTTTTATCCTTCCATTGCAGGTCAAGGAACCTATCCATCAAAATATGAAGCGTCAGAAATTGCAGGCTACATGAACCTGATTTGTGGATAGTGCAGTATTTGTGGATGACAAACAAAAACTGATACGCATCTCAAACTTATATACTGACAATTAAGCATTTGGCAATGCATACAGTGGTAGAGATAGTGCTTTGTTTGAAAAACATTTTGTTTGCTTTCCTTGTTGATTTTTATGTAACTGGCTTATGCCAAGTATGGCAACTTTACTTCATGGGTTATTGCAAATTTTAGTTTATAAAACTCTTCCCACTGCCTCATCTTCCGGCTTTTTTCTAGTTGTAGTTTCTTCATTTTCCACTTCATTACGGTCCCAAGGTTTGCCATTTATTATTCTTTGAGAAATTACTAAATATCCGTAACTCAAAAAATAAATTCAATAGAAACTTATGGACTAAGAAAGGTTTGGTTGGATAGAAGGACCCATCAGAGCTGAAAGTTGACAGCTATGTTGGGTATAATGAAGTGCGATTGGAAGCACTAAGATGTGAGAAATCAAAAAGGGAGAAAAGAAAAACAAAAACTTTCGAACTTGGAACAGAGGAAAACCTTTTTAGGTTCTTAATATGATCATGATGATCAATATCAAAAGATAACAAATACAAATGAGAGGTACAGATGCAGTATACATACGGAGTGTTAAATATATAAACAAACTAGTAATTTAACAAGTTAACAGATCAATAAACTGAATCTGTCTCAGAGGGGAAAAAACTCAGATTTGAGTACTAATAGTTATACTTTATGACATCACTCATAGTGCAATTCAAACGTTGGTTTATCTGAGCTACAATTTTGCATGTCTATGTTTGTAATGCGATCCAATTTTAATCTTTTAATATCATTGTTCATAGTTTTTTTATGGAAGATACTATAGTTTTACAATAATTTTTTTAATATCAAATGCAATTATGTGGTCATATGGATTTTAAAGTCAAATGAATTTCATGTCTGAATGCTTTTGATTATAATTTTGTTTTAAGAAACTTGGTCAACTAGTTTGTTATCACGGACATTTCACCCGTACATACAAATTTGACCCCTCAAAATACTCAATACGTATAGCGTGGCAACACAGTCGCGCAACTCTGAAGACTGTTCACAAATTTAGAGAAACCGCCACGGGGCATGTGGAAATACCTAGTGTGGTCTAGAAAGATCCATAGGAGTCGGTGTAAATGTGGGGCCCACCTTGACGTACAAAGAATGGTGTTTTGTTTTTAATTTGTTGTTGTGATAAAAGGATGAGATTTTAGATGATGATATAAGCCGCCCCATGCCGCGAGTCTCAATCCCAAAAGCAAGTTGAAATTTTTCTCTCAAAATTCGTCACCGTTGTTTCACTCCATTCTGTGTGCCTTTCGATTTGCAGTATAAGTTATTACTGTTTCATTATAAACATATTTCAACTTTAGTAACAAGCAAGTTCCATTACAGACAAAGCAATGGAAACCTACGAGGTAGTTAGCATGATTACTTTTTTTTTTTTTTGGCTTTTCTTATAATTCTTTCCGCGATCTTTCTTTAGTGGTTGTTATTTTGTGTGTGTAGGTAAAAGTGAAGGCTGAGAACAAGGACAAAGAACTAAAGCGCCTAGGGTTTGTGAAGATCGCTGCTATTCACACATTCGTGTTTGTCTCATATCTGTATAATTCCGCAAAGAAGAATTCTGGGTCTTTGAGATCCGCTGTTGAAACAGTGGAGGGAACAGTAACCACTGTTATTGGTCCTGTCTACAACAAATTCAAGGATGTCCCTGATGATGTCCTGGTTTTTGTTGACCAAAAGGTAATTCTCTCGATTAATAATTTAATTTAGATTTAATTGGTGTTTTATTTGTATGTTTTTATTGAAAACAAACTAGCTTTTGTATCTTATATTTTTTTTATTACCCTTCTTGCACATCATTAGTTTGATATAGCTTTTTTATTATAGATCTAAAAGGAACTTTGACATAATACTCTGATTAAAACACACCACTTTGTGAAAAAAGTTAACATATTTAAACATATTCTTGTCTGTGTTCTTCAAATTCCATGATAATGCTTGAATGATTATTTGGTGCCTTAATTTATCAAGCGATTTATGGCTGAACTAACTGACTTGCACATATATGATATGGGAAGGTGGATGAAGCTACTCACAAGTTCAACGAACATGCTCCTACTATTGCTAAGCAGCTTGCAGATAAAACCAAAACTTTGATTCAGAAAGGGTCACATGAAGCAGGGAAGGCAGTGAATGTGGCTCAATCTGAAGGACCACGAGCTGCTGTAAAATATGTTGCTACAGAATCCAAGAGTTTGTTGCTAATCAATTCAGTGAAGCTGTGGGTTGGACTCAACCAATTTCCACCTTTCCATGCAGTTGCAGAAATGGCGGTTCCAACCGCTGCTCACTGGTCTGAGAAATACAACCATGTAATCAAGGCCATGGCTGGAAAGGGTTATGGTTTTGTTGGCTATTTGCCTTTGATTCCTGTTGATGAAATATCCAAGGCATTTAAGCAGGGGAAAGCTAACATGAAAGGAGATAGAGAGGTTTCAGTGGAAAAGAAAGTAGAATAATCTTGTTCTGTTTGAGTTTCAATTTGTCTTTTACAAAATGCTTTTAAGTTACTTTGTTTTCAGAGTTGAGACAATTTGAGCCTAGTTGTGGCTATCTATGTTTGAAGTTAGTAAGATCTTCTTGTAATTAATCCGTAGTGATAGTGATAATGTAAATGTGCGATAAATGGTTATGAAGTTTGCTTAGTCTTGTTTATGACAAGTACTATTGGCCATGAATTCTGATTATAATGTTTACACAACTTTATCACATTTTGCAATAATAGTGGTTGAATTGTGTTTGTCAATACCACCTGATAAAAATTATATAATTATGTAGTACATGTGTATGAAACAAATACAAAATAGCTATAGAACTGCCCGACTTTTTTGAAATACTCTCCAGGTTTTGGCTGTTATTTTTATTATTGTGGTAAGTTGAGTTTCGATTTAAAATCAGCACAGATGAAGAGTGTATGTGTTGTTTATAAATTACCCGTAGTCTTTTGTCCAATTTGTTTTTTTTGTAAAGAGTGGTGCTATTCATAAGGAGTGAATATACCAAGAATGCTTCACGAATAGGAGCCGTTAGTAGCAGAATACATGGGGCAGTTGTGGATGGAGGGAGGCTTAAACAGTTAGTTCACTTTTGTCTTATAGTGAATGCTGCCGTGATAATTATTTTTGCGAGAATTAGCATTTTCCTTGTAATAACCATCTTAAATCAATAATTAGAAACTTTTGTACAATTTTTTTTCCTTTGCTATTTGACAACTCTTATGTGAATCTTTAATCTCTTTCAACCGTTTCAAATACATAGACACCGTGTTTGAACTTTTAGTACACAGGCCTTGTCTAGCTCCAGGCCCATAGTGTGTATTAGGAATTCATTCTTGTAGTCTAATAATTAACATCTCACCCCAATTATTATACATGCCATCTCCTAAAGGATATGAAAAGACAAAATTACTAATCCAAAAAATTCTCAAAAATTTCAAATCTATGGTAACATATTGAAAATCAGGGCTATACCAGAAATTTAGAGGCGATACCGAAAATTTATTGAACAAATAAGAAATTTATGATAGATTTGTAAAATTTCTGGTACATTATATTGGAATTTTCAAAATATCTAGTATATTTGAATCGATAATTTTGCAATTTTCGATTAATACGTTTATCTTTTGTATCAGAAATTTTAAAATTTTCGTCGTTTAACAATATGTATCTGAATTTTTGAAATTTCGGTAGTTCAATTTTTTTTTTTGAAAAATATTGAAAATTTAGAATTTCTGATAGTATATATTTTTCTGATTTTTTCCGATGTTTCATTGAGGACCAAAGGCAAAATTTCGGTAGCATATATTTTGCTGATTTTTTTCAACGTTTCAGTGAGGACCAAAGGCAAAGATAATTCTGTTGCGGGTAGGGTGACAGATAGAGCGGAAGTTCATGCCCGGACTGACGAGGCATAAACTTCCGAATTACGGGTTAGATGACGTTCTCTGATCGGTTCTCATCGGAAACAGATGACGGAGCAGCAGACGCAGTTTCGCACACTCTGCCGTCGAGGACTTAGAGTTTCTAACGCTGATGAGATACATACTCATGCTCTCGCTTCTGTGCCAGTGATTGAGCCGACTATTGAGTAGCATATTGAGGAGGTTGTGCCTGTTTGTGACACACAAACTTTTTATTTATTGCATAATATTTTGGCGATTATATGTTTCGAATAGATGATGAACATAAAATAAAATAGTGCAACAAACATAAATAAAAAATAACTAAACATGAAAACTTAGGCACTACCGGGTGTTTTTAGACATTTCAGCATCTCAATTATGTTGTCGACGGATCTTGGGATCTCCGCATCCAACTCGATCAGACCTTTACTTATACTATGGCGAAATAATTTCTACATGACCGTCATATTTTTATCATTCTTCAACTCGACCAGGTTGTATTTCACCCTTCCATTTGTATAAATTCAATCCTCCCGAAACTCGATCTTTGTCACCCTTCTATTATCAGAATCAGGCAGCAGTTCATTCAACTTATCTTTCAAATTGTCGAAGGATATGATGTCATCTGGAAGCTTGAATTCAACAACAGGGTTGTTTTTGTTGAAATATACTTCTGCCTTAATTAGAAATTGAGGAAGAGGTATTGTTTGAGATGTTTTTCTTTGTAGCATTTGTCTATATTTATATAAATATTGATGCATTTCTATACCATACAAATTTGTTGGTGCAATTTGAATCCTCTAAAGATGTTGGTAAAATCTCAACCGTTAAAGAAGCTTGAATAATTAAACTACCAAAAATTTTAGTATATAAAATTTTCGGTACTGCCTGGTAAATTTAAAATTTATGAAATATCGAAAATTTCAAATACACTACTCACATACACCAAAATTTTTGTAGGGGTGTACCGAAAATTTCGTGTGTACCGGAAATTTCGATAACTACTGAAAATTTTGTCCGAAAATTTGTTTGTAACTCAACAGAAGTAATTCTGGAATAATAATGGGTGGGGGGGGGGGGGGGGGGGTGGAATCTATAATTTGGGAGGTGAGATGTTAATTCCTGCTATATTAGGCAAACAAATTTGATGGATCACTTTTACACAACAAGTGGTATCAGTGGGATCCAGATTCAAAGGCCATGTGTTTAGAAAAATTATAGTTTTTTCCGTTACGATCATTGCAACCATCTTCTGATTCTTTCTGTTGTTGCCGCCACCACACTTCCCTTTCTTTCCGTTGTCTATGCCACCCCATAAATGATGGAATATTCACATTTTCTGCAACCAATTATCCCCAAATTTGATGGGTACTATGAACATTGGTCGATATTAATGGAGAATTTTTTTTCTGATCAAAGGAGTATTGGAGCTTGATCAAGGCAAGCATTATCACTGCCCTAACTAACACTATGCCAGAGTAGATAAAAGCCTTCGACGATAGTAAATTGCACGATTTAAAGGTTAAGAATTATCTTTTTCATTCGATTGATTGATCAATTCTTGAAACAAACTTGGTTCGTGACACTCCAAATGATATTTGGGAGGCAATGCGAAGAAACTATCAAGGATCCATGAAGTTGAAAAGGGTGCAATTGTAATCTTTGTGATGTGAGTTTGAGATTCTTGCAATGGGGGAAGGTGAAATCAGTAAATTAATACTTTGCAAAACTCTGGCTATTGCGAATCGAATGACAACACATGGAGAAAAAATGGAATAAGTTATGGTTGTAGAGAAAATCTTGAGGTTAATGCCTATAAAATTCAACTACGTGGTGTGTTTCATAGAGGAATCTAATGATGTAACAACTATGTCAATTGATGAGCTTCAAAATAGTCTTCTTGTTCATGAACAAAGAATGAAAGCTCAAAAGGATCATAGTGAAGAACAAACTCTCAAGATGAGTAATACTGGCAGAGGTAGAGGAAGAAACGCCTCAAGGGGTCGTGGTAGAGGAAGGCAAAGCAAAGAATTGGTGGAACGCTACAAGTGTCACAAGCTTGAACACTATCATTATGAATGTCCTTGTTGTACCCCAAAATTTTCCCTCCCATATTCCTCAAGATATGTCAAGAATCATCTCCAAATGGTTCAAGATTGCTCAAGAGTTAGACAGTCAAACCATCTCCTAGGCAGTAGACAGCTGAAATTAGGGTTTTGGTTCTTTCAAGGAATTTGAGGTTTTCAATGGTTCAATCAAGTCTCATAGGCCTATATACATTCTCAATCACCTACATGCCAAGTCTCAAGACTCACAGTGCCAGTTTGCACAGTCAAAAGCTCCATTTGATCTACAGTCAACTGCAAGGGCAAAATGGTCATTTTGCAGTCAAAAGTCAAGATTTTTGTCAACATTCTCATTTTGAAGGATAATTCATCATTTGATCAAGGGTTGATCATGATTCATCAAGGATTGCTCAAAATTCATCAAGATTCAAAAGTTGCTAAATTAGGGTTTTGTAGGAAAAGTCAACTCAACTTTGACCAAGCATAACTTTCTCATACTTTATGATAAATGGCCCATCCAAAGCTCATTTTGAATAGGATGTAATTTACTACAATACATCTTCATACCCCAAGATCAGAAAATGCACTCACAAGAAGTTAAAAATTTGGACATTATAGGTTATTTTTGAAAGTCAACAAAAAACACCTTTTTTGCCAAAGCTTATAACTTGAGAATGGAAGATCAAAATGAGATGATACCAAAATGTTTGATTAGAGGACCTCTCAAGGTTTCTAAAAAGTCAAAGAACACCTCCAAAAGTTAAAAATTAAAGAAGTTATGCATTGTTGAAGTTTGGCATTTTTCCAAAATTGCCAAAAGTCAACTATCCTCAAAACTCCAATTTTTGACAAAAGGGCCCACTTTTTTCCATTTGATTCAGTCTTGTCTTGCCACACACGTGTCCCATGCTTAATTTCATGACCAAACATTTATTTTTTTATTTTATTTCATTTTTATTGATTTAATTCATTATTAATCAATATTAAATCAAATAAAATCCAAAAATTATTGAAAAGGGATCTTTGTGATTTGTACAGCTTGCAAACATCATGTGACAACCAACCAACTCGTGCTAAGGCTTATTTGTGCATAAAATCTCAGATTTGGCTATTTTTGGAAAGGTTAACAATGGTGATAAATTCAAATCCTAAACCTTGAATGTACATGGATATTGGCCCAACTCTTGACCTAAAATCGCTGCCTTATACATACACAAGCAACACAAACCTAATTCACGACTGAAAGACTGCAGAACGGCCATACCAATTTCAAGAAATTTTAAGAAAACTCAAAACTTGTTCTTGCGATCTAGGCCAATTCAAGGTGCCCTGTCCATCCAAACACATTGCAGGAGGTACCAGGAGTGATTTGCAATCAAATTCAAGCACCAAAGCTCAAGGAATCACGAAATACCATCTCACGGTTTGCACTTATAATTCAAAACTGTATCTCTTAATTCATACACATTTGACATGTTTTTGTGATTGATTTGCATTGCTAGAGATTATACAAAGCTAATGGAATGACTGAATTGAACCATAGTGCCCTAAACCGAGAGATGCCATGATTGAATTTCTAGGGTTTTCAAGCTTTCAAATAGGGCTTTCCAATCCAGGAAAAATTGGAACCAATGGGATACATGGTTGAATTCGTGAGACCAAGACGATTGGAACACACACCTCGCGAAATATTTCTTTTTGCTCTGTGTCTATTCGCTATTTTTCGTGCAGGGAGGTAGTGGAGGTTAAAAACCCCCGCTATCTAATTCTATTTTATGCAGGACCAAGGTTGAAGATGGTGACGTGTGATCATCTGATTCGAGTGTTTGAAAAACGCGCGCTTTATTTTTTGTTTACAGCATATTGTTTGTCTTTGTATGTAATATTCTCTATTTATCCATTTAACAAAAGCGCGTCACAACTCAGTTGGAAAAGGCGTTGATGCATAGTCCATTGGGACCTGGGTTCGAATCCTAGGTCCCCCAAAGCTTTGTTCAATTTTTTCCTCAGGTTTTCGT